TGTCTTTAAATTTTTAAATATTAGTTCAACTTAAAATCGACATTTTTAATTGTCTATTATTATCAGTTTAAATTGCGCATTGTCTTATTCTGGTAAAAATACATGTGGTAGAACATGTACTGTCCTAAGCGTGTGTAAACGTCCCAGTTCTGCCGCATCCGTCCATTCATGTTGTTGTGGCACCCGGCACTGCCTTCGTCCCCAGGACGCTGAGACACCCCCTCCGAGCCCCAGCCCCTGCCCCAGCCCCTGCCCCAGCCCCTGCCCTAGCCCCTGGCAGCCAGCATTCTCCTCTCTGTCTCCGTGAGTGTGCCTGCCCTGAGTGCCTCGTACAAGTGGAGTCAGGCAGTGTGTGTCTTTTGATTCTCCGGGTATATACCAAGAAGCAGAACTGCAGGGTTGTATGGTAAATCTGGTTTTTGAGGACCCACCACACTGTTTTCCACAGTGTCTGTAGCATTTTACATTCGCACCAACCATACACCGGGGTTCGAACTTCTCTAACCCTGTCTCTTCTCAACAGAAGATAATGCTTATCTTCCATTGTTTCTGTTTTTCCTTTTTTTTTTTTAAATAGTAGCCATCCTAATGGGAATGAGATAGCATCTCATTATGATTTTGATGTGCTTTTCCCGAATGTTTAGTGTCTTTCTTTATTCATGCACACTCTTCAACATCCAGGGTATATTTTACCCTGACAGCCATCTCAGGTCGGACCGCCACATTTTAGGGGCTTCACAGCTGGCTGCTACTATATTGGAAAATGTGATTCTGGAGGGGAAGTTAGAGCAGTGGGTAGAAACAAGTGGGATTCGGACACATCCCGGGTGTATAGAGAAACGTTATGATGACCCCAGCTGCCTGAGAAGGGGCTGGGCCTTCAGGAAGCTGTGTGTCCTTGGTCCTTGGCAGGGATGGGCACCAGGAAGGGCTGGCCTTGATGACCTTGGGAAGAGTGCTAGCTCGTGGTCGTTCCTCTCGAGTGACTGTGAGTGCAGACAGTCTGTGCCTCAGCCCCCCAATGGCACAGCTTTTGCAAAGGCTGTTTGGAACTCTGCATCCCAACAAGCCCATTGATCTTTTTGTCATCACACACCGGATAAGAGTCTGGCTGTGGCCACAGGGTGGGAGGCTGGGCTCGGGGGAGCTGCCAGCTTCCTTCCCAGCACTCTGCCTCGACCCTTCGCTGCCCCTTAGCATCCCCCTGGAGCCTGTCTAATCAGATCCAGGCCTGACCTCGCCAGAGGTCCTGCACCAGGAAGAAAGCCTCCCTCCCCCCCCCCAGCCGCTCCAGGTCTTGGGCTGGGAGGCCCCTCCCCTCGGGGTGATTTATAGGGTGTCCAGGAGTCGGCTCCTGCCTGTTTCTGTTCTCTGCTAGCTCGGTGGGTTGCCGGGCTCACTCTCTGCCCTTGTCTTTCCCTATGTCCTGGCTCTACCCAAAGTTCAGGCAGAGAGGGGCTAGGAGATTCCTTCCCGGATTGCTTGGGGACAAAGGTGATTCTTCTTTCTCCACAACTGCCCCCCCCCCCCAAACAGGCCTTTGTTCACCTGGTCACTTGCTTTAGCCCTCACACTGGAAGGGCTTCTCAGCCACTTCCCTAAATTACTTCCTCTCATCACCCAGCTTGAGTAAGGTACCAAAGACTGTTCCTATCTGACTGAGGTGTCAGCAGGAGCATAAAGCATCAACAGCCATAAGCCACTACCCCGCCTTCATGTCCACCAGCTACTGACAAAATACCCCCAACACCAGCCACAAACAGTGTCTGTAACCTGTGCACACCATTATCAACCGCACCGTGGCCTCCAGGATGACTTGTTTGGGGCTCAGGGTGCACAGGGGCCTGACCCCCAGCCTCACATCCACACGCTTGCCCAAGGGCCCTCCGCCCCGAGAGACACAGTGAGGCATAGCTTCCCCCAGCTCTGCGTCCTGCTGGCACAAACCAGAGTGGAACAGATTTGCTGATCAAACATGTCCCACTCTGAGAGATTGGAGAAGGCCTAAATGCCCCCCCCCCAACTCCCCTGACTTCCCAAAGAGAAAAGTGCTGAGACCTATGAATTAAGAGTTAGCGAAAGATTTTGAGAAACCCCAGCTACATGTGGACAAAGGCCTGTTCATGAAGGTGGCAGGAGTTGGACCTAGAAGGCCCCAAAGAGTGCCTGCCAGCTCGCCTCTTCATTCACAGATGAGAGAACTGGCCCTGGACACGGCCATCCCAGGGATACCCAAGGGATGTACAGGGCAGATCAGAGGGCTGGGCAGGGGTGTGAGGGAAGAAGGAACCTCTGACGTAGGGGACTGCATCTCCCTATTGCGCCCACCTTCCCTGGACCACATCTGTGTAACCAGCTGGGCTCCAAGCAGTGGGACTAAAGAACCATCTCTGGGGCTCTTAATCTTACCTGCAACTTGCAATACAGTCCTACTCCCAACCCAACTGGCAAGGAGACTCCAGTCCAGCCTGTAGTTCCCTCTGGACTTACCTGCCCTTGGAGAGTGAAAAGCTTGCTGGAGAATGAAGGGGCATCCCAGTAGAGGGTCTAGGGCATGGAAATTCTGATTCCGGTCTGGTAGAGCCACCAGCTGGGCCTGGGCCTCAGGTTCCCCTTCATAAAATGAAGGGGTTGGCTTTAGATGAGTGGTTTTCAAGCACTTTTAAAGGCAAAGCTACCCTTCAAATGAAATGTTTGGCAGAACTGCAGTTGAGTAAAGCAGAGAGAGGGGCACAGCAGGGTGCTGCTGTCTGATGGAAGGAAAATGTGGGGCCCCGAGCAGGGAGGGGTTCCTCTGCATCCAGGGGCCCCAGGGGCCCTTGGGAGTCCTGCTGTACCTGTGAAGAGGTGCGGGCTGGCTCTGCAGCTACCACCTGTCCCGCTCGAGCACGCCTCCCAGCATCACATTTAGTTCATGATGCTGCTGTCGTTTAGTTTGGGGGGAGAAGGAGGAGTTGCATGGTAGAGGCCAGACTTTCTCCATCCCCAACGCCCCCCACTCCTCAGTGAGGAAGCAGCCATGTCCCTTGTGTCTCTCCTCAGGCCAGTTCCTAGCTCCAGGTGCCTCCAGGGACCCCAGAACAGGGGCTAGAAACACAAAAGGATTCATTTCCTTAATGAGAAGGCATCTGTAGTCAGCAGAGCCATTAGTCCCCGCCCCTGGACCCTGGGGGTCTGTGAGCTCCTCTCCAGCTGGAGTGGGGAGGGGCAGGCAGCTCCCCAGCTCCTGAATGGGCAGGGCCCAGCGGGCAGAGACCCCACCCCCACCCCCACCCAGGAGCCTGGGTGCCCTGTCTGCTCAGTAGACCCACTTCCAGCCATGCCCTGGAGGTCGAGAGGCACAGAGGCCTGGAGGCTGCAGAGGGGCCCCAGCAGTGCCTCGGCCCCCACCCCCAGGTCCCTGAGCTGACCTGCAGGCCCTTGGCCCAACAGCCTTTGGCCTGAGACGGGGCACGCTGACCTCCCTGGGGCTCCCTGGGGAATCCTCTAGCAAGCCTAATGGGGACACCAGCTGGGGCACTTGCCCACCTCCTACTCTGAGAGCCCCAAGGTGCTGTTTGTAAGGGCCATACCTACAAGGGGACACGTGTGATTGATTACCAGAATCACACACCAGTCACAGGAGGCAGGGGGTACAGACCCCCATTCGCATCCGGCCATGACACTCAGACCACGTACACGGGGACAGCCACACCCTCCCGGCAGACACTGCCCCACGCTCATGTGCGAGGAGGCGCTCACACCCATCAGCTGGTTCCCCAGAGGCCCTGAAAGAAGAGGGGGCAGGGCAGGGGATTTTTATGCATGTTTATATTTAATGAACCACATGCAAATGAGATGGAGAACATGCCACAAAAGAATCAGTCCCCAGAGGCTCTGGGAAGAAGGGCACAAAGGCTGTGCCTTTCGGGGCTGCTTTGGAGTCCAGAACAAGCTTGCAGATTGAGGGGGGTCTGAGACAGGGTGTGTCCACCCATGCCACGGAGCCGGAGCAGGAGCCAGAACCAGCCGCAGCACCCGGGCTGCAGTGGGGGGAGGGGACCGGGGAGGGGCGACTGTCCCAGTTGATGGAGTGCCGGAGGGGAGGTGCTGCCTGCCTGGACAGATGGTGAGCTGCCTTCCCGCACTTGAAGCAAAGTGGATTTTAATGAAATCACAGCCCTGGTGCTGAAGCTGGGAACCGAGAGGGAGGGGCCCTTTCCCTGAGCTTTACAGGGTGAGGTTTGGGAATGGGAGGGAATGAGGGTGGGAGGGAACACTTAACCAGCCTAAAATGGGGTGGGGGTATGCCACAGCCTCCCCTGCACCAGCCTCAGCAGACCAGACTTCAAGCAGTTCAGATTCCCCAAAGGTGGGGAAGGGGCCCCTGAATACATATGACACATTGAAATGTAGATTGGTAGGTCTGACAGTCTTCTGTCACCTTGGGTGGAAATACCACCCCCTTGGGGTACCTCTAAAAGCTGCAGAAGAATGGAGGAGGGGGTGGGGAGGAAGGGCGAAGAATACTGCTGGGTGCTGGGCAGCAACTGGACCACCTGCTTCCCTCTCTGGGCCTCGTTTCCTGTTCTGTAAAACATGCAGCAGAACATGGAGGCCTTGCCAAGGGGAAGTTTATAAAAATAAATTGGGAAGCAGCGGGAAAAGTAGGCAGCAGAAATCAGAGGCAGGGCTTTCTCTGACTGGCCTTTGTGGGTCAGTAGCCCAAGATTTCCCAGTTAGAGGTTTGTCACCCAAGAATTTATCCAGCTCTTTCTCTAAATGTGCCGGCCCAGCCTGTACGCGACCCCTTAGGGGGAAACGTTTCCCACGATGGGAGGCTGGACCAGTGCTGATGTGTGTCCTGGGCTAATGCCATGTGTCTGCCAGTGCTAGGACACCCCTCACCCCTGGGTGGGATGAGCTCCTGGGTCCCAGGACACTCGCCTGTGACCACCCCTCCCTGCTCTCTGCTCCTCAGTAGTTGCCTCTCCCACACGCACCCCCCTGTCTCTCACCAGCCATGTCAGACTTCCACGTGCACCCCCAGGCCATCGCGGGTGAGGAGGGCGGTGTCGCCCGCTTCCAGTGCCAAATCCATGGACTCCCCAAACCCCTGATCATGTGGGAGAAGAACAGAGTCCCCATCGATACGGACAACGAGAGGTGAGCCCCGTGTGGGAACACTGGAGGGAGGACAGAGAGGGGGGCCCAGGTTGGGCCTTGCAGAAGGCCTGCCTGCCCTGGCGTGGGGTTTCTACAGCTGTGCTGAGCCTGAGTGTCTGCGTGGTTTGTGGGTCCCAGAGTTGACGCTCATGGACATATCCACAAGGGGACCATGTGTGATTGTTGTCAAGGCTGGAACTGTGGGTGCGACCACCTGCAAGGGTCCAGGTGTGTCTGCAATGATGACAGTGACGTGGAACAGTACCTGGTGCCTGGCTGTGTCTGATGCTCAGTATTCCTGTGGCTGACGGTGCCAGTGTCTGTGCTGGTGGTCAGCTGTGCCCCCCTCATCAACAGGTACACACTGCTGCCCAAGGGCGTCCTGCAGATCACAGGACTTCGCGCTGAGGACAGTGGCGTCTTCCACTGTGTGGCCTCGAACATTGCCAGTGTCCGTGTCAGCCACGGGGCCAGGCTCACCGTGTCAGGTGAGGGTCCTTCACCCTGCCAAGTCCCTCTCCCAACCAGCCTCCTGACTTCTCCCCACCCCCAAATCAGCCACCCCCTTCAGCTGGCCCCCCCGGAGATTTGTCAGCCAAGGGCAGACAGGGTACCTTTGAAGCCCAAAGTTGTGGGCTCCTGGCAGTGAGGGTTCAGGAGGAGTCCAAGGTGTACACCCTGGCTCGGTTCCACCTGGGGAAGCCCAACCTCTGCTGATGCCGGAGGCTGCAGGGACAGGAGCAGAGAGATGGGTGTGAGCGACAGACTTCCTGGGGCCCCTGGCATCACCTCTGCACCAGTAGGACCTGATTTCTAGGCTGGAGCTTGTTCTCCGCCCCCATGTCCTGCGTTGTGGGTGGGGGAGGAGGTAGGAAGGGTCCCAGCTGAAGTGAAGAATGTGGCATCTTCACCCCAGGCTCGGGCTCTGGGGCCTACAAGGAGCCTATGATCCTCGTGGGGCCTGAGAACCTCACCCTGACCGTTCACCAGACCGCAGTGCTGGAGTGTGTCGCCACGGGCAACCCGCGCCCCATTGTGTCCTGGAGCCGCCTGGGTGAGCCTCATCCCAGAGCCCCTGCCTCTCCCACCCCTGCCCCACCCCCTGGGAGGGCCAGTCTCATCACCCAGCTCCGGGGAACTGTGAATCCTGTTTGTTCTCTGCGGGGGTCTGGTCTCTGCAAGGCCTGGGGGGGCAGGGCACGGGGTGGTTAGTTCCCTCTCCTTGGCAGTACCAGGGAGGTCTGCTGGAGGTCCGACTGCTCCCTGCATTCTCCCTCCCCCTGCCCGGATGGCTTAGCTCCCTGGGTTACCTCTTTTCGGTCCAGCACCAGTCCTTCCTCCCCGCCCCCCTCACCCTCAGCACTGGACACCCTACCCTGGCCAGAGTCCCTCTGCAGCTCTCAGCACTCTGGTCTCTTCTTGCTCATCTCTGCCCTCCACACCCTGGCCATACACCCCAGCTCTGTGATCCCAGACCCCTCAAAATCTCAGCCAGTTGTCACAACCTTACTCTGGGCTCCCTGGTCTCTAGTCGGGCCCCCGAAATCCCAGGCCTAAATCCCCAGGCAGCTGAAGGAGAGAAATGAAAGGATGCAGATGGGCCCACATTGTCTGAGCAGAAAGGTCACGGGAGAAGCAGAGTCTGGAGGGGCAGGGTGGGGTGGGCATTCACAGGGAGACTGCGCCACATTGTAGCAGCTGAGTGATCGGGGAAGGAGGGGGCAGCAGGCAGGATAATGGAGTAGATTTCACCACTTCAGGGACTGAATGGGGAGCTGTCTCCTTGCATTCTGACTGTGCTAATCTGATCCTGGGGTGGGGGGAGGGCTGGTCCCTGGGAGAGACTGGAAAGAGTGGCCTCACCATTAGGAGGAGCCCATGGGCCCGGCAAGGGCCATCTGGCCCAGCGTCTCCCGAAGTGTGCTCTGCAGAGGAAGAGAATTGCTTGGCAGTCTTAACAAGTTTAGGAAACGGAGTTAACCAGGTCCTTCTGCCGCAGGACTCTCCGAGCCTTGGTATTAACGGGCACTGCGACAGGCCAGGAACAGGATGGATGCTTGACCACCGACCTTTTTTCAAGAGGGACAAATCAGGCTGGGAAAGGCCTGGTTAATTCAACCCCCTTAATTTCCTGTTTGAGAAGCTGAGCGGAAGGGACCTGAAGGTCACCACCGTGTCAGTGAGAATGCCAGAGTTAGGACCCAGGTCCCCACCGCTGGAGTTCTCTGTGCGGCTCCCGCTACCTTCGCGGTGCTGCCATGTAATGCTGAGGAGGGAAGGGGCTGAGTCGCAGACCGAGGCCCCCGGGGGGTTGCCGGGTCTGTACACAGCCTGGAATGTCCCCACAGTCCCCCCTTTTCCACACCCGTCTCCCGGACCCTTCCTCACCTCCAGTCCCCTTCCTCCGTAGACGGCCGCCCCATTGGGGTGGAGGGCATCCAGGTGCTGGGCACCGGGAACCTCATCATCTCAGACGTGACCGTCCAGCACTCGGGTGTCTATGTCTGCGCGGCCAACAGGCCTGGCACCCGGGTGAGAAGAACAGCACAGGGCCGGCTGGTGGTGCAAGGTACCTGCCTCCCCACCCCTGGGCGAGGGGACATGGGCTCCCACACAGCCCCGCCTGCTGCCCTGTTCCTTGCCCCATCAACACCCCTGGCCCGAGCCCAGGACCCTGGACTCACTCAGTTTCCTACCCAGTCCCTGCTCCTCCCCGGCCCCCAGGCCAGGCCACAGGGGCAGCCCTCCCCTCACCCCTCTCCCCCAGGAATGCGTGTGCTGGCAATGGGAGGGCTCTCGGCCATGGGCCCCTGTGTGCCCCGCAGCTGCCAGCACACCCTCCCCAGTCACTTCCACTTTATAACCACAGCTGGTTTCCCCCTGTGTCGTTCACACGTGTCTCTTGCACCACGTGCTGTTTTCATTCACACGTGCGGCACTTCTATGCTCACACCTGCTTGTACGCTCTCAGCATGCTTGTCGTTCTCACACTGACACCCCAGCTCCCACCTCGCACACGCAGCTGGCCCCCCACGCCCACAGCAGCCGACCGGGCCGTTCCGTCCACCTTCCTGCCCTAAGGCTCGGACTGGGCTCAGATTCCCTTTCTCAGGGCTCCTCTTGCAGGCGTGCCCTCCTGGAGAGCTGGGGAAGGGGTGGCAGGAGGGCATTAGGGCTTAAATGCCCGTTTGTTTAGCATCCCATGTGCCGTGAATCTGTCCAAATGAAAGTGATGGAGCATTTCATTTCTCGGGCGCTAATGGAGGCTTCGGGCCTGGGACTGGAGGAGAGAGGGATTGAACGGAGGGGTGGGGGCGGGCTGGCACTGCGGGCTCATCCATCTCCCCTTCATTACAGCCTTGGAGGTGCAGCCGAACCTATTAGCACATTTATTTATTTAACAATTTCCTGAACAGGGAGCTCAGCTTGATTGCTTTCGGATACAAATGTCAGTCTCTTAAATAGTCATTAAAACGGAGTTCTCTCTAGGGTCTGTCTCTGAGGTGGAGGGAAGAGGGGCCTGCCCCCATCTCCTGGAGCCTGGGCCCCACCTTGAGGACCCTCCAAGGAGAGTGTGTCAGGAGCCCACCCTGTCCTCCTGTCCTCTGTCTCACCCCTGCACTCACAGCTGTCTCACCCTTCCTCCCTGACCCTCACTGCACCACCCGCCTCTCTGTGCCCCCCCATCCAGCCCCAGCAGAGTTTGTCCAGCACCCCCAGTCCATCTCCAGGCCAGCTGGGACCACCGCCATGTTCACTTGTCAAGTGCAGGGCGAGCCGCCCCCTCACGTCACGTGGTTGAAGAACGGCCAGGTGCTGGGGCCCGGGGGCCACGTCAGGCTCAAGAATAACAACAGGCACGTGTGGGGTGGGCATCGGGGTCGGGCGCGAGCCAGGGGTTGGGAACTTGGGTTCGAGTCTCAGGCCTGCCACTGACCTGCTGGGTTGCGTCCTTTGCTTTCTGGAGGGGCTCAGTGTCCTCATCTCTCAAGTGGGGAGGTTCGGCCACCCACAGGGGCGCCTCTGGGAGGGGGCTGGGACCTGAGGCTCTCCTTCCCCCTGCAGCACCCTCACCATTTCTGGAATCGGCCCCGAAGATGAGGCCATCTACCAGTGTGTGGCCGAGAACAGTGCTGGCTCCTCACAGGCCAGTGCCAGGCTGACCGTACTGTGGGCCGAGGGGCTGCCCGGGCCCCCCATCAACGTGCGAGCAGTCTCCGTATCCTCCACTGAGGTCCGTGTGTCCTGGAATGAGCCCCTGGTCAACACCGAGGAGATCATCGGCTATGTCCTGCACATCAGGAAGGCTGCGGGTGCGCGGGGGCACGGGGACAAGGCGGGCCCCGCAGCCCCTTCCCCTTATTCGCTCTTTCTCATCCCTTTCCATCTGCGTGTCCTGACCCAACACCTTCCTTTCTTTCTCCCCCTGCTCCCTGGCCACCCCCCTTTCACCGGTGCTGGGAGGCCTCCCCACTGCCCCTTACACTGCCCTTCACCCCCCCCCCCCCCACCAGACCCACCAGAGCTGGAGTATCAGGAAGCGGTGAGCAAGAGCACCTTCCAGCACCTGGTGAGCGACCTGGAGCCCTCCACAGCCTACAGCTTCTACATCAAGGCCTACACGCCACGGGGGGCCAGCTCAGCCTCACCCCCCACGCTGGTCAGCACCCTTGGTGAAGGTGAGGCACGGTTGTCTGTGGCGTACCAATCTGCAGACACCCGGGGTATTGGGGCGGAACCACTGGCGCGCTCCTTCAGGTCGTGCACTGCGCAGGCCCAGTAGGGGCTGGTTCTGTCTTTTCTAATTCGCGTAGAGCTGCTGTTTGGGCAGGCCAGGGTCAGAAGCCAGAGAGCTACGGAGCTCATGGGGGCGTGGGTCACGGGTGGAAGGTGGAAGAGGTCCTCACGTCTTGGCCCCCTCTGCCCACAGCCCCCGCCCCTCCCCCATTGTCAGTGCGAGTCCTGGGCGGCTCCACCCTGCAGCTGCTGTGGGAGCCCTGGCCCCGGCTAGCCCAGCACGAGGGCGGCTTCAAGCTGTTTTACCGCCCAGCCAGCAAGGCCTCCTTCACCGGCCCCATCCTTCTGCCTGGAACTGTCTCCTCCTACAACCTCAGCCAGCTCGGTGAGGCGGACACTGCCTGGGCCTGGGGGGGCTGGGGGGCCTGGGGGGCCTGGCAGCGGTGCAGTGCCTCGGGCCAGGAGGCGGGGCCCAGGAGTCGCCTCTATTTCCCTGCTGGGATAGAGCCACCCACTGGAGCGGGCTGGTCACTCAGCAGCGCTCCCTGCTGTCCCGCCAGATCCCACTGCGGTGTACGAGGTGAAGCTGCTTGCCTACAACCAGCACGGCGATGGCAATGCCACGGTCCGCTTTGTGTCTTTGAGAGGGGCTTCTGAGAGGACAGGTGAGGGGCGGGGGTGGGATGTGGGGCCACTGGCACTCAGGAGGGGAGGCTAGGGCTGAGGGAAGACAGGAGCGGGGACCCAGGGAAGGTAAGAGGGTGGAAGAGTGCATGCAGCCCTTGAGAAAATAGGCTTAGATTTGGGTTTGAAGTTTGGCTGTGCAGCATTCTAGCTGTGTGACATTGGGCAAGTTACTTAACCTTTCTGAGCCCCAGTTTTCTCCTCTATAAAAGAGGGATAATAATAACAACTACTCTATAAGAGCCAAGCCAAGGATATACAGTGTTATTCCCCATATCTGGCACATAGTGCTCAGTAACTGGTAAAAAGAAGTGAATATTTGGGCTGGGGTCCTGTGGGCAAGGGCAAAGATCAGTGGACTTGGCAGTGGAAGTAGGGATAAGAAGCCCCAGAGACTGGGTGTCTGGGGGGTGCTTCAGACCTGCAGAACCACAGCCCACAACCTGCCCCCCCACCCTAAATAGCCCTGAGCCCACCATGTGACTGCCGGAAGGAGGAAGCCACCAACCAGATGTCCACCACAGGCATTGTCATCGGCATCCACATCGGGGTCACCTGCATCATCTTCTGTGTCCTCTTCCTCCTGTTTGGCCAAAGGGGCAGGTGAGTGCTGGGCCAGGGAGAGGCGGCTGCGCTGACCTGGGGTGCGACAGCCCGGAGAAGGAGGAGCTTTGGGGGGGAGGGGAGTCCGGCTCACTGTCTCTGTCCCCGTGTTCTCCCTACTCCACTCCTCCCCTGACTCCTGGCTCACCCCTTAGGGTCCTCCTGTGTAAGGATGTAGAAAACCAGCTGTCCCCTCCTCAGGGCCCCCGGGGCCAGAGGGACCCTGGCGTCCTGGCACTGAATGGGGCCAGACTGGGAGATCGGGGCCACCTGAGCCGAGACGAGAAACGAGTGGACATGAAGGAACTGGAGCAGCTGTTCCCCTCGGGTGGGGCCGCAGGCCAGCCCGACCCCAGACCCAACCCCAGACCCATGGTGAGTGTCCCTACCTCCCGGGAGGCTCTGACCGCCTCCCGGTCCTGCCCTCTATGTCGGCCATCGGCCTTCACCCAGCTCCAGGTTTTCTCCAGGCACAAAACAAGCCCCTGAGCCCGGAGCGGGACCGGACCCAGAGCCCGAGCCCCTGGGCAGAGGACTTGGGGGCCCCTGGCCCCCACGTTGATGCTTGTGTGTCTGGCCCGTTTCCTAGCAGGATCCGGTGGCCCCTGCCCTGTGTGAGGAGACCCAGCTCTCCACGCTGCCCCTTCAGGGGTTCAGCCTCCAGGAGGAGAGGACTTCGGAGGCCAAGGCTCCACGTGCAGGCCCCGAAGCTGCACCCTCACCCCAGGACAAAGGCTCCGGCCTCCTCAGTGAAGGACAAGCTGCCCCGCCTTGCTCAGCACCAGCTGCCCAGTCAGCTCTCTTGGGACAGTAGCCAGTGTCTGGCCCACTCCAGAGGGGGCAACCCCCCATTCTCAGGTCAAAGGCAAGACTTTCCTGTCATGTGGGACGTGGATGGGGGCCTCCCCGAGTTTCTGGCTGCCCCGCAGGTTGTCCAGACCTAAAGAAGCCTCAGCAGGGAGCCCCCGCACCGGCACCCGGAGGGGTCGCTGCAGGAGTCCTCCCTGGGGCTGATACCCCCTCACCTCCGCCTGGTACCCACGTGACTTGGAACTGAACTAATGTTTTCTTTAAAAAAAACTTAAAATGGAAAAAAAAAAAAGAAGAAGAGAAGAGAGAGGAAGGTGAATCAGACTCCCAAACCTTGCCCCTGCTGTGGCCGGGCCCTGACACTGTCACCCCCACCGACCTTGTTTTCTCAGGATGGATTTTGCTGTTTGGTTCTCAGCACCTACCTCAGCCGGAATGAATGTCCTTGAGGGAGCGGCTCGGCCTTAGGCCCCTCCCCGACAGAGCCCCGAATGCACTCCTACCTCAAGCCCCTTGACGGGCAGCCCCTCTTTCCTCCCCACATTGTTGTCCAGAGTTTTAAAAAAAAAAAAACCCACAAAAAAAAAGCACTTCCCTATTTCCAGGTGTGAAAGAAACCGTCTACCTCACGGCGCACGGGCTCTCGGGCCTGTGTTATCACTGGACCCTCTCCGGGCTCCGCCTCCTGCCCACCGCCCCGTTCTCCCCAGAGAGGAGGTCACAGGCTGTGTCACCAAGGGCAGGCCTCTCCAGGCCTGTAGACATACAGATGGAATTGGTCAAAGAAAATGTGAAAAAAAAAAAAAAAAAAAGCCAAATATGAGAGGAAAATCTGTTCCTTGAAAATATAAGTTGTTGCTCCAGACCAGGCACCTCCCAGCACGCTCCCCGTGCTCTGTTCTGTCTTGTCTTGTGTGTCCATTCCCATTTGACCCTGCCAGCCAACTCGTCCCCGACGGGGGTCTCCAGGACCCCTCTCCTCCTGGGCCTCGGGAGGGCGGGATGTGGTTCCGGAGCCTGCCTCCTGTCCCGCCCACACGCAGGGCCCTGGAGCAGGCCGGCCCCTGGAATGTACTGTGTGCATGGTGGGTGCGCGCACGCGAGGGGGGGTCCCCAGCAGAGGTGCTCGAGGCCTCTGTCCCGGGACACGGCCAGCTTGGCCCACCCCCTGGGCAGTGGGATGACCACTGTCGGCAAATGTGGCCAGAAGCTATTTTTATACGAGGTGTGTTTAAAGCTTGTTTTGTTCCGTGACTTCTTGTTTCTCTTTTCTGTTGTGTTGTTCTTTGAAATACTTAGTTAAAGAAGAAAAAAGAAAACCAAGGAAACAAATACCTATTTTTGGTTACACTCAGAAACATTTTTTTAAATAGCAGAAAGAAAACTTTTTTTTTTTAAGGAAAAAAAGATTAAGTGTATTCCTGAAGTGTGAGATTAGACTATAATAAGGTCCCTGACCCGCAGCCCTCTAGGGACCCCTCACCCTGAACCTTAGTTAATTAGCTGAAGAAGGTAGACTTGTGATGTTTTCCTAGAAGACGAGTCCCGTCCGAGTGGACCCAGAAGGGCAGTCCGCCCTTTCTCCCCAGTGCTGGGCCCGTGCCCGGGGCTCCCCCAGGCTCCCAGACGTGCCCCCGTGGTCGCCACACTGGCCTCTCCGCACGCTGCTTCGTCATGTACCCCCTCCCCTGTGGGAAGGGTGGGTCTGGGGGAGGAAAGGGACGGGGGCACCACCTGACCTACTTGGCCTGGCATTTGTCATGCTACTCATTTTGACTGAATAAAAGTCCTGTTGCCAAAGTAAAGCTTGTGTTTTTTGGTGGCTGTGTTGGGCCCTGGGGGAGCGGGCGGGAGTGTGGGCCAGGCTGGACCCTCACGGGGCCTGCCGCCGACGGGCACCATGCATGCTGAGTCTTTTCCACAGGTGGGGATGCTTCTAAATATTCTAGTTTTCATCAACTCCATTTTATAGAAGGGATAAGCCAGTGATGGCAGGACCAGGCTTGGCCTCCAGGCCAGGGTCTGCGTGCCTCACCTCCTTAGCCGGCAGAGAGGAACCCTAGGCCCGGCGCTCAGCTCCGTGTGGACAGCCAGCATCGAGCCAGGCTCTGGGCAGGGCTGTGTGCTTTTCATGCATTGTCTGCAAGAAAGGACCGTTTCCTCCCCCACAGTAAAGGAAACGGGGGCCCTGAGTGAGTGACTTTCCAGGGCACACGACCACAGCCCCCCGCCCGGGCCTCTCTATTCCTCCCTGTCCGGTCCTCAACCCAGGCTCCTGAAGGCAGCTGTCTGGGGCCACTAAGGCCTAGGACAGGTCGAGAGCCTTGGCCTAAGGGTAGTTGTGCTCACCAGGGTCCGGGGACTCAGCAGGCCTCAGGCGTACTGTGTGGCATGGTATAAGGCTTAGACTGGCAATGCCCCCTGCTGCAGACAGGGAGAGCCAGGGCTCACCACCCCAGAGGACCTTTGGAGGGGAGCAGACCGGGACAACGGCTTGTAAGCTGGGTTCCCTGGCCGTGGCTAGGGCTTCCCTTGTTTGGGGGGCTTTGCTCTTCCACCTACCCTCACCCAGAGCAGCTCCACGCTCATCTGCCTTCTATGTTGACCTCACCGTGAGATCTCACTTGAAAACAGGGTTCTGCGCCCAAAAGAATTTTGAAAGCCCCTGGTATGGCACTTCTGGAAGAGGCTGCTGGGGTGGCTGGGGCTGAGGGCAAGCCAGAGCAGATGGTGCTGCGGATGCCAGACAAAGGAAGAGAGTCTGAGGCCACCATGGTGCCTGTCCTGGGGGGGGGGCAGGGGACGCAGAGAGAGGAATGGTTGACTTGCCCTGGTCCTCTCTTAAGAAAGAACTAAACCGAAATGTGGACAGATTACATCACCTTTCTCTACACAGAACTGGACCAACACAGGAACTCTTCACCAACTCCAGCCATCCAAGGGCTGCCTGGGAAGGTGGTGGGTTTGTCATTTGTTCAAACAGACCCTGCAAGGGTGGAAGAGTAGACCAGGTAACCTCTGGGGCCCCTGTCCCCTCGAAGTGTCCGAGATGCCAGCACCTCCCCCATGGAGGCATCAGGTAAACATTTAGAAACCACTAATATGACTCATGTAGGTGGATGCAAATCACACACAAGTTAATCAAATGCAGGCAGGGCCTGTTCTAATAAGGCTCTGAACTGGGCTGAAATAGAGGGAGAAACAGGGTTGCAGTTAGGAGTTTAGCAGAAATCGACGTTAAAACTGAGAGGCCCAGTAGGACTCTGAGTCCTGAGATCTCAAAGAATCTGGAGGCCTCGGGCCGAAGATGCCCACAATGTACACACACGTGCATGTGCACAGACGCACAGGCACACATGCTCAGGGACGTGTGCACAGACGCACATGCACACTGTCTTTGGGCAGGAACCAGCAGCAGCCTGCTGCAACTAGCCACTGCTCTGTAACAAACCACCTGCAAGGTCACGCTTCCCCTAGCATGTATTTTACCCACAACTCTGGGGTTTGGGCAGGGCTCAGCAGGACAGCTGTCTCTGCTCCACTCGGCATCAGCATCGGTGAGGAAGCTTGAAGCCCAGCTTCATCTGAAGGCTCCTGGCTCACATATCTGGTGGCTGATGCTGGCTGCCGGGCCGTCACCTCCATGTGGCTTCTCCATGTGGCTTGGGCATCTTCACAGCAGGGCGGCTGGGATGGAAGGACAGGCGTCCTGAGAGAGAGAGAGAGCCAGGTGCAAACTGTGTCATGGTTTCAAACCTAGCCCTGGTTGTCACACAGTGTCACCTCTGCCATGTTCTATTCATTAGAAGCAAGCCACCAAAGAGGTCATATTCCAAGGAAGGGAATTAGATTCCCCTTCTTGATGGCAGTACAGGAAAAGAGGAGCAGACCTGTTTTACCGCAGGACGACTCCGGAGGGACAGGTGGAGAGTGAGTGTCAGCAAGGATGTGCCGGGAGAGCTCCCTGAGAGGCCCTGTGGGGGGAGGGGAGGCGCGGCCCAGAAGGGCCCCCGCGGGGCTGTGGACGGAGGACAGGGAGCACTCCCATTCCTACTGCTAAAGCCTGCTTATGGGTCTCATCTCCATTATTAGTGAGCATCGGCCCAGGGGTCCAGCTCTGAGGCCACAGGGAGGGGGACCAGGCTCCTGTGAACACCTGGACAGGGGCGTCTCCCTGTTCCCTACTCCCTGCTCCCTCTCCTCAAGCAGTTGGGGGTGGAGTGGGGGAGGGGAGCTGGTGCAAGCCCGAGGTCCCTGCCTTCCCAGGATGGTAGACGCCAGAATGACAGTGCTGGAAGGGACCACGGATCCCTCATGAGACAGACGAGGCAACACAGGGTCCACGAAGGGCAGGAGTCCTTCAGGGTCACAGGGATATTAGAGGAAGAGCTCAGAAGGGGTGGAGCCCAGGACAGCCACACCCCACCTGAGCCCTTTCCACTCAGCCCAGCCAGGGCCCAGTGAGAGCCCAGAGGGAGGGGAGAGGGGGAAGAGTGGAGCCGGGGTAAACACGGAGGGCAGGTGGTTATTACCTGGGGACTGGGGTGGGCAGTGAGGGGAGTCGCGCTGCCCAGGACAGGGGGAGCTGGACTGGCGACAGGAAATAGAGGAGCGACCAGGAATGAGGGGGACTGTTCTGAGCTCTGGACTCAGGCCGGCGTCAGGGAGAGGGACATCTAAGCCCATGCCCTCCCACAAAGAGGTGTTATAAGGACTGGCCCAGAGTCCTGTTGCTCTCTGGGCCTCACAGAGCCACCCGTGGCAGGGAGGGAGTGGGGAGGGCAGAGGCTGAGAGGGGCGCCGAGGGCGGAGCCAGGCTGGGAGGCGCCTTGCTTCTTGAACTCAGGAGGGATGTGGGCCGGAGAAGCTCTGGAGCACACAGATGACCGGCTGGCCACCCTGTGCCTGTGCCCACTGCCCGATGCAGGGTCTGGCCCTGGCCCTCACTCCAGAACGCCCACAGCCCTGCTGGACTCTCGATGAGGCAATAGATCCTTGATATGATGCCAAAAGCATAATCAAAAAAGGAAAATAAATAGATACATTGAACACCATCAAAATTTAAAACTTTTATGTGTCAAGTAACACCATCAAGAAAATGCAAAGCCACAGAACAGGAGGAAGTAATTGCCAGTTATGTCTCTGATATGCAACTTGGATCTAGAAAGTGTAAAGAACCCTTATGATCTGATAATAATTCAATAATAAATGTACAAGTAACCCAATTTAAAAATGGGCAAAGGATCTGAACAGACACATGCCTGGGTTGCAGGCCAGGTCCCCAGTAGGGGGCGCACGAGAGGCAACCATATATTGATATTTCTCTCCATCTCTTTCTCCTTCCATTCCGCTTTGTCTAAAAATAAGTAAATAAATTTAAAAAAATAGATGAACCTTTAAAACATTATGTTAAGTGAAAAAAGCCAGTTCCAAAGGACCGTATATTGTGTGATTCCATTGACATGAAGTGTCCAGAATAGGCAAATCCTTAGACTGAAGGAATTAGTAGTTGCCTAGGCTGGGGGTTGGGGAGAAATGAGGGGTGACTGCTAATGGATCCAGGGTTTCTTTGGGGGGTGATGAAAATGTTCTAAAATTGCGACGATGGTTACAGAATGA